TTTTTGCGGGCTGTCTGTGGTGTTTGGAGCTGCGGTCCCCTCAAGCCGTACCCAGCTGTGGGTGGTCAGGGGTCCCAGTGTGGCCCCTCAGCCCACCGCTGCCATTCAATTCAGGAGACCAACCGACAGCTCGGAGCACCTGCTCTCCAGGGCCGCAAGACCTGCCTTCCCACGCAAGCAAGTATCCAAAACCTAAGCTGGATGCTTTGGAAGCAATTTGTGTGCACCCCAGGCCTGGCCCCATTATGAAAGCATTGAATTAAGAGTTTCATGCTCTTATTAAATGAATCCCCTTCAAGAAAAAAAAAAATGCTGTGTATAGCAGAGATTTTTCTGTGCCTTTTGATGTGATCCTACTTGGATTGCAAAGCCTCGCCTGACATAGGCTAAGGTGTTTCTGCTTCAGATCTGTCTGGAATTGGAGGTCACAAAAAATTGGAAAGACTTTGCTAGCAAGCTCTTCTGGGAACATAAATTGTCCGTGCACATCTTGCGGGTACTGTTTTCGCTTGGGGGCCTGCAGATGGCAGGGCCGCTTTGCCCAGACCAGAGCTTCTTCTCATGAGCCCTGGTCTTCTAGCACACGGGTTTTGTTTTTTCCCTGAGGTCTTCCTTTTCAAAGCAGGGCAGATGAGACCCAGCAGGGGAAGAGCAGAGCAGGGCATGTATCAAAGTGGGCAGAGCCGGGCCCTTCAGGATGCTTTGCTCACAGCAGGCTGGACTCAGTCCTTGGGGACGGCAACACCACGATATCTGCTCTGGAGCGGGAATACGGCGCTTGTGACTTTAAAGTCCTGCTCTCTTCCTCCTCACGGCAGGCAGCATGAGCAGAGTATTTCCTAAGGCAAATCATCCAGCAGGTCTCCAGGGGGGCCGGAAGTGGGGTGAGGAGCTGATAAATGAGCAGGTCTGGGTCGGCATTTAGGTGACTCTCCAAGCAAGGGAATAGTGGAGGAAAAACATTGTGGGGAGGGAAAGAAGGGGAGAAAGGGAACTGCATGTCTCGCTTCAGCTGTTAAAACCTACCTTATGTGTGTGCAGCTGTTTGCGTGGAGGAACTTAGCTCTTCCCCAGCCTATATAGCCCCACAGCAGCCTGTGCTTGCATCTGCACTCCTGGCTCTTGTCACTTCCCGGGGAGTGGGGACATCATGGTGGGACATGGGAGGAAAGGTCTCAGCGTAGCAGCAAGGCATGCATATAATATTGCATAGTACAGTACATTTAGCTAAATGCATGTGCTTATGTTCGTCATCAGGTGGATACCACGTGGGTACAGATTATGGCACCTTTGCTGCCTTGGCTAATATACACACCATGGGTTCTCTGATAAATCTGATTTGCTCAGTGCAGAGATGGTTTAACTGTTTTGTTGCCTGATGCACCAGGTGTAACATTGCGCATCTGCCACACGCTGCCTCTCATAAAAAAAAGATCATTGAGCGTCTCAGAAGAGCGTTTTCTCTTGTAGATTTAGACGCAGGTGGTCCCTGTACGATATATCGTGCCTACTGGTGATCCTACACACTGTCCCTGCAGTCAGGAAAAGACCACCAAAGAAAGAATAGGTCATTCCTGTAGCAAATGCTACAGGAGCACACGCTCTGGTTTCCAAATCTCACATACGGTCAGTGTAGGGTGCACAGTGCTCAGCGTTACTGTGCTGTTGTTGTGGGTGGCCAAGTGGCTGTGTGTTTTGTTGGGGTTTTTTTAATTTCATCTTTGTTTTGCATAGATTCATTTGAATGCTGACAAAAGTGCCTGGAGACATGGGAATGTGCTTTAGACAAAGCCAATGCTGTAAGAAGTGTAGTGTCCAAGTAAGCTGTAGCACACAGACTTGCAAATGCTTTTGCTGGCTCTCTTCCAGAGGGATACAGCAGTTATCATATTCCTGGGAACTATACCCTCTTTGTTTTCCTCTGTTTCTTGCGGAAGGGGTGCTTTCTACTACAATTGCAGTGAGTTTAACTAATGACAGCTGTATGCTGAAATTGCTTTTTGCACTGTTTCTACTTTTGTAACTCTTAAGATAATGTTTGACCACAGAGGAAAGCTGCAGTAATGGAAGCAATAATAAATTCAGCGTGTTATGGTGACTGTCTAATACCATGTTGTTATTTTGATAATCATTAAAAAGGAGATCACCAAAGGTCATTTTCTCAGGATGGAGAAAATAACTTATAACAGGGGATGTAAAGAACTCGGGTTGTACAGGTGACTCAAAAGAAATTTGAGAAGTGACCTTAATTCTGTGTATGAGTGTCTCTGAGGGGGAGAAATGCCAGCTATCACAGAGCTTTTTAATCTAGTGAGCATGGCACAGAATAGCCATGGTTGAAGATTAACAAAGGTCAAAAATAAAATTAGAGACCAGGCATACTTTTTGAACAGTGTTTACTGATAAATATTGGGATGAACAACCCAAGGAAGAGATTGATTAGTTGGGTATTGATGTCTTCCAAGGAAGTCCAGGGTCTTTCTGGGACACAGGCTTCAGGCAAGCAGACATGAATGGCTCCAGGCAGCATTAAATGGTCATGTCTTTTGGTCTGTATGCTCATCTAATGTTCCCCTCTGTCCCTGTGAACCAGGGATGTCTGCAATGAAAATTGATGCCTTATAGTCTTCTAGGCCTCTTTTTTAATATAAAAAAGAGAGGTGGAGTCCATGGAAGAATGAACTTGTCTGATGTGGTGATCAGAAGAATACTGTCCTCTGTATTAGCGCACACAGTTAATTAAACTTCTCAACAGTGCTACAAAGAACAATCTCCGTTCTGTTCCTTAAAGAGGTGGGCAAACTGACAGCAGACCTTAAATCCTATAGGGAGCTCACATCAGCAGCAGCTGGAGCTCATTGTTTCTATATGAAGACTACACTATACATCATACAAATACGTGACCTAACAGCTTCAGCACTGACCTGCAGGTTTCCTAGGGTGGCACCAGTTGCCTGCCAGAAGTTTAGCAGGTTGATACATGCTCAGGAGTACGTGGACTTCAAGAAGCTGAAGAGATGGGATTGTCCTCTAAGTAGAACGGCTGCGTTTTTGGTGCACTATAGAGGCTTCCTTCTAACTCTTTTTAGACTTGCAGAGAAGAAAGCACTTGGCAGCCTAAGGAGGACAGATTGCTGCCCATCCAATCCACCAGTTTTCCTACAGTAAACCTGTTTGGTTTAATATGGTGAATAGTGACTGCCACAAATTGGGACTGCTTTTCTCTGCTGGGGAGGAGGAGGAGGAAATGTTTTGCATAATTGAAATACTTCGTAGTAGGGAAGGAGAGTTCGAAATCCATTTCAAGGTCACATGTACCCAAAGTATAAAGAGTCCTCTGCTCAAAATGATGCCTTTTCAAAACAAGCATACCAAGGTTATTTCAGTTCTGATCACCACGCTCAGTCTCACAATAATTAAAGCCTGTTATCTGGATCCTTGCAATATCGTGACTCACCAGCTAATGATGACACTGTCTCACACATGCATCAGTCGTTGCTTTTTAAGTCACGGAAATCGTGAACTCCCAGTACAACTTAATCTTCAACATTTCTTTTCCCATTTTTGTTAATTCACCTGCAGATTAACTCTTAAAATACACTATCTTCTCTTCTGACAATGACAAGAAGTGGAAGACACGTCTTGGCTATTATATACTAGTTTCTTGTAATATAAAGTTGCCCAAGGGCCCCCAAGATGCAGTAAGAGGGCTGAAAATGTCTGATGAAATGATTGCTGTCCCCACAACCAAGAACAAAGCATGTTCATTTAAAAAAGAAAACAACCTAACAATAACGGAAAAAAAAAGTAATATATAAAGGCTTTAGCCTAGTTTTTGCTTGTTTGCAGAAAAACAATGTGCCTTATGGATAAAGGAGAAGGAAAGGCGAGTTTCCCAAACTTTATTCTATGTTTCCAGATCGTGCTTTTATCCCTTCCCATTCACAGACTGCTTCCCGCAGCCCTCTGGGTCTGTGTGCTGGCGGGTACCTTATAATGGCCTCAGACTTGGCAGATGTTGCGTGTGTGGAAGGAGCCAGGTGTCAGCCAAACATGTGGCACCCGCACGGGCTGCTGCTGCCGTGGTTTGTGTGTGGGGACTGGGTATGGCATGTTAAGCAGGCCACGGGGTGCGGGATTTGTTTCTTCTGGCCTCAGCTGTCTAAAAGTTGGCTGTCTGAAGCTAAGCGAATGATGTGCTCTTTGTCTACAATTAACAGAGAGCAATATGCACCTCCAGAGGATAACTCCTCCCAGATACCTTAGACGCCTATCTTAGGATCACATGAATTGCTTTCTAGAGGTGCCTCTTCTCCTCCATTGACTGTGAAGGGAACACAGGTGGCTGACAAGCTTCAGCAACTAACTTCTAGGTGGCTGAACTGGGGGCTATAGAGAGCTACCTAGAGGACCTCAATAAAAGGTAACAGAGTCAAAAAGATCTTATGAGCGGTTGCAAGGTAAGAGGTCCCTGAGTTCAAATCAGGGCTTTTCAGCTGATTTTCTGGATGATCCAGTGGTAGCAGTGGTGGTGGTGGTGGCATCCTTTTGCTGGAGAACACCAATCTGATTGTGCTGTTTTTTTTCTCCACCCCCGAAGGTCGCCACTGTGAGGTCCATCAGATGATTGGAAACTACATGTGGGACCAAAAGACAAATGTATCTTTTGACATTGGTGTGACTAAAGAAAGCCTGCTGCCTCTCTGGTGGAATGGATCGGAGCCTTTGTGGGTCACAATGATGAAAGAAAAAAAGAACGTTTCCATGTACTACTGGCCAGGTTAGTATGTCAAAAATTGCTACCGTCTTAACGGTATATCTTTATATCTAAGCACTCCATACGCTGTAGGATGGCTTTTTAATACAGTTCTGAAATACAGACAAGAATTATGAGTGCTTTAGTAACCACTCATAGAAATGAATTATCTTTTCTTAGGCCATGACAATTTGCATATGCTTAGGAAGGAGAAGACTGAAGTGTCACTGAAGGCAGCTTTCCACCAAACGTTACCTTCAGGGGGGCGCTGGCTTGCAGAGCATCCCCTCCTCCACCAACTGCTCCTTCCTCTTGCCCACCTGTAGCTTCTGCTGTGCTGAATGGCTGCTCCATGAACCATTCATGGAGCAACACTGTAGACCATGTCACTGATCAAAGTTAAACAGTAACCATCCTTCCCCAATGCTTGTTTGGTTTTAAACTGGAAATTAGTAGCTGAGAGCTGAAGACAATCTACTCTGTGGGGACAGAAAAATCCATTTGAAAGCAAAACATCCTTTGGTGAGCTGGAGTGAGCACTCTTGTCCTCCTTCATCATTAACTCGGCTGAGGTCCCAGTTGCTCTGAGTCTGAGCCATTCATCTGGAGGGACTTGGCCTTTCCGTTCCTCATTTGTTGGATATTGGACCACTGAAATCACTAGGGATGTATAATAACGAGGTTTTTTTAACAAATAGGAATATACCCTTAGGCTGTCCATTTAGGGACCCACATGGAAATAAATGTTCCAGCTGTGCAGCCAGACCAAATCCCTTGCAAGGTACCCAGCTTCTCAACTTTTTGGCCTTTTAACTCTGTTACCTAAGCAGTATGCAAATATCCTCATACGTGTAACTGCAGGCTGAAGGACCGCATGTTAGAAGAGCTGCACTGAATGCAGCCAGTGCCAGTGGGTAGGGCGGCAGCAGCTGACTCATGCTGCGGGCTCCCGGCCAGCTTGTCTTCTGCATCCCAGTGCACGTGTGTCTGGTCACGGTCTTTCCATGCAATGTGGCTAATGGCGTCCCAGAAAAAAGGCCACAGTTCTCAGGAGAGGGAAGAAAGAGCAAACCAAGATAAGAAACATTGAAAAGCCATCCAGAGTGTTTCTACAGTACTGAAGAGCAAAAAGAACTGAGGGTGACACTATTGCCTTATGGACTCAAAGGCAGTCCAAGGGACTGGAATTGCAGATTAGATATAATGGTTTGGATCAGCCTTCAAAAAAAAGCTTCTCATTGTAGATCACCCAAGTGACCTGACAGCAATGCAAATAGTAGCATATAGAAATTATACAAGAATGTAGAAATTCTAAAGATTTACAAAGACCTATTTCTATAGACTGTTCATTTTTAACGTCTAATGTAACTGCACTGAATAGGTATAATCATGTACTGAGTAGATGTAACAGTCTACACAGAGCTACTGAAATCCAAAGGAACAGTATCACTTTCCATTAAAAGCCTTTGGACTTTACCTAGCTCTTTCATGTTGCCCTTTGAGCAGTGTCTCCCAGGAAGGAGAGTGTATACGTATGTATCCCTGGATACATATGTATACCCTTCACACTTATCTGTCCGTTATTTCCAGTGGAAAATTGCAAGGAACGACAGAGCCTCCCTTTTCCCAGTGCTTATGCTGCCAAGTGTATGCATTCTTACAACACAGAGGGGGAATTTTTTGCGTGGATCTGGTATTTGAGCTGTGGACTGTGACATATACATCTGTCTGTCATTAATTATTTATCTGCGACAGACGACCTTTGGCAGTCATAAGTGCCTCAGTTCAGCAAATGCTTAAGCACATGCGTATTTTAAGGGTGTTCATGGTCTCAGAGGACACGTTGGCCATACAGGGTCAGGCACAGGGCAGGAAGCGGGGTGAAACCTAGAACTATTGAACGAAAACACAGGACAGTTGGGCTGCAGTAGGACTCCAGGTGTAACAGGAGTAAACAGAAGTCACCCAAATGCAATAGTATTTATTACATTTTCCCTATATGATTTTTTTGAACTGTTTTCTAGTTCCATAGTAAGGGTGTAATCCTTACTTCTGGATTTATTATTTTAAAGCTTTAATTCTTTAAAGGGCGTTTGACTGGGGAGCGATGCCAAACAAAATGAAAGAAAAAATAAGGGTTTAATAACCAAGGTGGGTGAAGGTCCCACAGACGTTTGCACTGAGTATGGTCTGCTATTAGTGATTAACTTTCCAGCCTGAGGATATACTGCTGCTTAGTAATGAATCTTGCAAATCTGATAAAGATCCAAACAGGAAAAGTTTGGGAAACTGCTAATAGGAACAGCAATGTTCAGCCAAATTCATCACACTTTGTTCTGGAAGATGCTATTTTCTCTCTAGCCAGCAGTGAAGACAAATGAGACTGATCAAACGTAGCAGAAACACATTGCGAATGCCAGCAAGCTAATTCCCAGGGTTAACTTACACCACTGCCATTTCCTCCTCAGAGCCAGTTCCAAGCTTTGCAAAGTCGGAACCCAAAATCTGCCGCTTGGTATTCCTCCCTATGTTCCTCTCTCATGCGTAGTCAGTGCTTAAAGGAAGAAAATCCAGACCCCAGCAAACAGGGACACAGAGCAGGAGGGCTGTCGGATACGAACACCCATCCTTCACAGCATTATCTGTGAGCCCAACATAAACACAGCAAAGACAACTCATGGGCAGAATTCATCTGGGCTCTCCTGCCTCTAGAAGCAGTGGAGCCAAAATACCAGCGCGCCGAGAGTCCCAACCACCGCTTCTGCCAAAATATAAGCACTCGGCTTGTAGGGACATTTTTCTCTTTTCTTCATGGTGTTTATTAGGCAGTTTCTGCTCTTCAAGAATTCCTGGGGAAAAAGTTATGTATCCTCTGACTGTTTGATTGCTAAATAAAACACAACAGCTAACACCGTATGTGGGGTGAAATGCGCAGCCTCACGCCCAGGTCGCCTGTCTGAAGCACTGCCGCTCCAGCGGATGGAGAAGCCCCAGAGGAGTGCGAGCGCATCGTGGTGGTACCACCAAAGTCAAAGCTTTATAGCACTCCTCATGCCTGGCCCGGTGGGTGATGTGACCCCAGACCCTCAAACTCCTTCATTTTCCAGCAGCCTATGCAACTGCTTCAGCTGAAGTGCAGTGACAACTTTTCTAAACACTGAACTGAGAGAAAGGGGAAAAAAAAGACTCTAAACCCAACTTTTTGCCATTTAACACATTTACCTGACCATGGAGCTAGTCTGGAAAGTTTTCAAAACCTTCTGTTATGACATGAAGTGTCCGACTGTTAAATCAATGTTTAGAAATGCAATTTAAAGCTGGCAGAGGTTCAGGTCTCCATGTTAGACAGATAAAGAGGAGCCTATATTATCACTGTGAAAGAAGTCCTTATTCCTGCTCCAGTAGTTCAGGTTTTTAAATAAAGGTTTAGCATCATACAAAACTGTGCAGAAAGGTATCTAACATTACATCTTAGTAAATACAGCTCATCCATTTGTAGTTTAACCAAGAAAAACTTAACATTCCCTTTGTCTGGCTCCAAATCTTCTTAAATTTCCTTTCCCGTAATATTTAAATGAGAAAATTTACCATCTGTCCTGGCCTCTACCAAAATGAAATTTAAATATTAAAGGGTCTTCATGGCCAGTATTTTGGAATTGTAACAAACCTTAACATCAAAAATCCAATTTTAAGTTTTGTTCATCACAGAGGCTAAAAAAAAAAAAAGAAAAAGGAAGCTCTTGCTATCTGAGCAGCATGAATTTTCAGTGTTACTGCCAATGAACTGCACACTTGAAGACCAATATTTAGTGGCCAAAATGATTTCTAATTGTTGTTGCCTCTGTAGTTTTTTATGTCATGCTCATCACCTGACAGTCTAGAAATAGCAAAGATATCTGAGCAACTAAAATATCCCAGATCCCCAAGAGGTTAATGCTTCCAGTTAAAATTATCTCGTGAGTAATTCTGAGGAACGTTATCTGAGAAAATTATAATCTGATGTCAGTATCTGAAGAGGAAAAAAGGGGCAAAATCATCATATTAGTCATTGGCTATGAGCAATCATCCACCTGAACTAAAATACTAGGCATTTCCAACATGTTTCCAAACACGTCCTTAACTTCTTGCCTGGCTTTGGAGCCAATCTTTTCCCAGACTCAAGTGTCGAAGGAGAAATTGGCTGCGAAGTTCCAGTTCAGTCCTGAAATACTAGCAAAGCCCACAGAGGACTACTGCATCACCTCTAGTACCCGAGGTAGCCGAAAGCCCGTGTTTTGCTGCTGGTAGCACCCAGGACATCATGCAAAAGACTGAAGCTGCACGCCCTCAGGGCAGGGGGCAAGGGCTCCTGCTTCCTGGAGATGACTTCAGGTCATTCATGGAACACATTTTTTTGATGATTTGGGTACGTAGCAGCTGGGACCTGTCTCTGTTGCACAATGTAATTTCTTGAAGGTGCTGTGTACAGATGTATAGAAATTTTACTATGGGACGGTATGGAGAGTCAGTTCTTGTCAAGTAATTGGCAGGCTGTTCATCCAGGTTGCCGATTACTTTCATGGCGGAGAGATAAACACTAAAGTATCTCCATGCGGAAAGGGGAGGATTAAGTCATATAAGCTTGGGGCAACAGGGGAAGAACAAAAAGTGAGCACCATCACACACTCCCACAATTTTTATAAAAACAAGTATTAGCTAGAGGTTCAAAATTATGTAACTATGTTTTTATAGAAAAGTGAATTAGTTGACTACATTTTCTGTTTATTATTGCAAATAATTAATTCTTACAAACAATTAATCATAATAGATGGGGTCCCTTGAAACACACAAAGAATGTGGAGGCCTGGGAGACGCTACCATGGACCATAGGGTGAAGAGACTGAATCTGTCATGTGTGCTAGGGCTCTCTAACTTTTGGAAAAGGTAACCTCCATCTGACTTACCTGGCTTTCTGCAAATCAGTGAAGATTTTCTAAAATTTCCTAGGCTTAAATATTTAAGTTTTTCTAACCTTTCATGGTACTCCTGAGAAGTCACGATCAGAAGTCTCTTAGCCAGCTTAGCCTGCAAGCGGTGTGCTTTTCCCGGTGTCCCAGTACTGCACCTCAGCGATGTGAGCTCACGCGGGCTGAGATGCAAGACACTGACAAATTCTCTTTACTGAGTGTCCCAATAAGCAAACTGCTGTAAATAATCTCTGAAAGTAGCTCTGCTTGCTCTAGTGCCCTCTCTGTACTTACACCTCCTGTGCAACCTTCTTCCCTCCCAAGCAATGAGTCAACTTACGACAGTCCTTAATGACTATTCCTTTCATCCCAAAGGAGAAGCAAAGGGACCCAAATGTAGGCAGATTCAGGCTATGGCTTAGAGTTGCCTTTTTGACTTGACTGTATTGCTGTATACAGAGGCCATTTTGCAAAAGCTCTCTTTTTTTTTTTCCCCTTGTGCCCCAGGAATACACCAGAAAATGCCTAACTGTGATGGGAGGACTCTGGGGCTCTCGAAAGATAATTTGCATGAATCCAGTGTTTCTGAAAGCACACTTCTTTTAAATATTAATGTTATTCAGCAGCATAGTAACCGGAGAGCAAAAGGGCAAAAAAACCCCACAAAAACATGTTTTGTGTGTTCAGGGCCATGTTCTCCTGTAGGATTTGTTGCCATAAATTTCTGGGCCACAAAACAGACTGTATTTTGCAAGGAAGGCTGCAAGTTACCAAGAGAATTAATTGGTTTATACTGTTTTAATAAGACCTCCTGGGAAACAGATTTAATAGTGGAGTGCCAGTATCACATAATAAAATATGGTTTATAGAGGATATTACGACGTAAGATACAGCGTGTCTAACTGGAAAGTATTTGCTGAACTTTCAGGGAACAATATCTAAATCTATTATGTTGGAAGCCTGGAACTGAGGCTATGTGGCCACAGTAGTTAAAATTAAAACAAGCTAGTGATTTAGGTGGAAACCATCTGCCATGAGGGAATCAAGAGTTTTATTGTGGCAAGGTCACACAGAGACCTTCCTTTTAGAGAGGGAAATAAAAGGATCCAATGTACAGTTTGCTACAAGCGCTCGTCAAACCAGCCTCTCTCCCCTTTTCCCTTCCCAACCACAAGGTTTCCTGCAGGGAAGGTGTAAGGTAAGTAATGCCACAGGGAATTTACAAACCTGAACTTGGACCCCACGGTGTGGGGTCTGTGATCAAGGTGAAACAGCAGAGCTTACCACATTTTTTGCTCGTAGGTTGCGAGGTCGAAATCCTTGGAGTCAGACCAAGTTATTGCCGCGAGTACTTCAGCGTCCCAACAGACAAAAACTTTGCGGATGCCATCAGCGATGCTCTCGAGTCTTTGCGGTACGTCACTAGACTTCCACAGCGTGGGGTTTCCTCTCTCAAGGATGAGTATTTGGGTTTACTATCAGCCTTGCTCTAGGGAGATATTCAGGATTGGCTCCCAGATAGGAAGATGGGAGCCGAGACTACTTTATAGTACTGTCATAGAAACATGCTCGTAACAGAAATAGGCCCTTACATTAAGATCGGAGGGAAAGATGTGCTCCTCTTTTCATGTGTAGGCTACAACACAGAGGAGACATCCTGACTTACTATTTTTAATTTGCTGACAACTTCAAGATCAGTCTGTGAGTATCCGTTCACTGACCTGCAAACATATCAGACTTTGAAATGTTTGGATTTAGAGAGAGCTCCTGGGAATTTGGAAATTCTGAAATTCAGCTCCGGTCACTTGTTTACGAGACCAATGCTTTGGCTCTTTCTGCATTTTAGAACATCTCAGGCACAAGGATTTTGGAGCAGGCATTCATTTTGTGCAAATATGAGTATAGAACAGAACAGAACAGAATAGAATAGTTCACTTGGAAGGGACTTACAACGATCATCTAGCCCGACTGATGGAAATGATGGGAATATGTCTGTCAGGCAACTCCTAGGAAAAATGTATGCTCCACACCCAGCTTTCCAGTTCCACCATCTCTCATCCAAACATTAACAAGGGACAATTCCACATAGGCTGTAAAATCAGGGAAGATTGCACCGCCACGTGTGGAGCCAATGCCTTACCTTAGCTATAACTAAGCTTCCTCTTTTAAAACCTTGTTGGTTCCATGATTTATCCAATCTTAGGATACACTTCTACTTTACTACTTGCAAACTGCGATAGCGATTTGAATCTGAAAAGTTTCGTATTCAGATGCTGAGTGTTGATTTTCCTTGAAATAAAGGCTCCGAAATTATGAGTGCTGCTGGAGATGTTGCTCCCAGTTGCACACTGGGTCCTGCTGCGCAGATGCTCACAAATCACAGTGTTGTTTACAGCATGGGGCTTAGAGAGAAGCTGTCTCAGAATATGTGAGACATTTGATCCTGAAATGATTTAGCTTAGATTTTAAGAAAGTTATCTGCATGTGACATGAGGAGGTCATATGTGCCATAGGAGGCTTTCTGGAGCTTCTGCGACACTTTTAATTCAGTGAATGAAAAAGGGAATGGAAAACTGAATACAGACACCAGCTCTGACTTCTTGCGGAAACCCAGAATTACCATAGAAAGCTTTTTGGTTGGGTATCATTTGAGGATGGGTCAAGATATGCTTGAAGCTTCCTGCCTGGTTTCTATGAAGCAAGGTGCATAAGGCTGCTCAGGACGGTTTGCAGCTTTGTAATTGTGAAAGTGATAAGCAAGGTGCATAAGGCTGCTCAGGACGGTTTGCAGCTTTGTAACTGTGAAAGTGACTAAAAGCGAGGCACAAACTGTTAAAAGCTCCAGCCCTTCAAGCTGTTCTTTTGGGTAGCTGGAGCCCATTGAAAACGTTTCAATAGCTAATTCACCCCGAGTCACAAGGCTGCTTGCTGCTGCCTTTGGTGGAAGAGAAGAAAAGGGCAGGGACACAACAGTGTAGGTGGGGCAGCTCGCAAGAGGTGAAAGCTGGTGATTTCAAGAAAAGAGCAAATCCCTGCCACCACAATGTCTGCCGTAAACACCAGCTACGGCCTGCTAAAGAGCCCAAATCCTACAGATCATCCCGGAGGTGCGGGAGGTCCAGTCTCTGGTGGCCATTTACACACCACCCCTCTTGAATTTCTGCCTGGGTTCCTTTTCTTTAAACTAAGTGCCCTGTCTGCAGCAAGGCAGGAAAGAAGAAAAAGGAACGATCGTCAATAGAGTTAATAATAAGTTGTGGGTGTAAATACTGCAGGGACTTACAGTAAGAAAGGAGGGTAGAGAATGAACAGATTAAAAATCAGGTAGGTTTTCCTTATCCTTTCTCTCATTCATCCTCTTTGTTTAGTCCTTTAAAATTTAGCAAACAATTTTTAGTGCTGCTGGGCCAGCCCATAAGAAGTAAAGCCTCTGAAATGCCTTTGTCGTAGGCGTACTCATTTAGCAGGAGTTAGCATCTCTGGGTAGAAGAGTCTTGAGCTGCGTTTTATCATCATCTACATCTTTTGCAAGAGCTTCTGGCTCTTGAAGCTGTTCAAAGGCTGGCAAATCCAGCCTGTTTCCTTGCCACACCCCAACTAATTGAAAAAGCCCATTAGGCTGAGGCTGGCACTAGCTATATGTGAGAAAACAGCCTGTGGCAAGGGCAGTCTGTCGCCTGGAGCAGTGCCATGCTCAGTTGCCCTAATGGCAGGTATTAGTGGTTAATGAACTGCACTTATGCTCCCACCATTAGCAAACCTTACAGGGACTTCAGGGTAGAGAGAGTAAGCCCTTTATTGTGGCATGGTTGCCTAGGGGTTAACTTTAGTTTGGGCACGGGAACGTCCTGACCCATCTTAACTTCACCAGGGTCGAAGGGAGTTTTATCAATGCCCTCTGCAAGGGCAGGAGTACCTAACTCATCAGGGAGCCACTGAGCTCCTCTTGCAACCAAAGGAAACCATCCTTCAGGAGTATTCTCCAGTCTCTTCAAACAGGTGCTCTGAGACCATTATTTAGACCAAAAATATTCAAAACTAAGTCAAGCACCCATTTTTGGCAAGTAAAACTAAAACCTCCCTTATGTCTTTCCACAACTGTAATTTAAGGGCTGTTGTAATCTACCTACCTTCCTGGACAGGTGTCGTGAAGTTTGCACGGTACTTGCAAAGTGTGTTGATAAAATATAAAACCCTTTTTGGTGTTGCCATCGATGCTGTCCAGCTTTCTTCAGCAAACTTTCCTTAGCCATTTCTTTTGAAAGTTACTGGTGATGAGAGAAGACAGGGCTAACACACAGTTAGAAAGACAGATTACTTCTCCCATGCAAGCCATGATCAGAGATGCCTAGTTTTCTTAGGAAAACAGGCAAAAAATGGAAACAAAGTCAAACTCAATCTTACAAGCTCTGGATGTGCTGTACCCAATCCTGCAAACTCCTAAGCATGCCGCATAACTGGAGCCTGTCCCATTGAAGTCATGTGCAAAGTTGAACATTCATCCTTACAGCACTGAGCCCTCACTGAGAAATCTCACCACAGCCTAAATAAGACCACTTGTTTTATGCAATAAATCTCTTTCTTAGCTTCTATCTTGATCGAAATGATCATTTAGTTACAGGTGAGAAGACACAAAACAGTCTAAGTAGCTAGTTAATACAGGCACTGCAGCAGAAGAAAACTGTTTCAGTAGGTTCAATGAGTGTGTACGCAACATAGAAATTACAGGGTTAATTTTTAGAAATTAATTTATGCCTAATGCAGATGGAAAGTAATGCTTAAAATGAAGTTGGGGCGAGGGAAGGGCTGCTTCATTTGAATGATTTTAAAATCATGAAGAATGAGAAAGAACACTGTTCTGCAGGGCCAGCGGTGGAGAAATTCCCACCACAGCAGAGACCTTCAGCTTCCTACAGGACTGCTCCTCTGAGGCCTTCAGCAAACTTACAAATGCAAATGACAGACCCTAATTCATTCATTCAGTCCCTCACCTCTGATTTTTTCTCTTCTGTCTCACTCATTACACCAAGCTACTCAGGTGTCTTTAATCAGAGAAGCTGGTCCTGTCAGGACATCACACGAAGTCTTTTTGTAGGGATCTTGATCTAGAGGAGAGCATGTATTATGGATGGCACACCCTGTCATATATTAAGTACAGTAGGAAAAGACTGGGTTTGAACTTCATGAACATAGATTTGCGACTTCATCCACATGACTGCTCTCAGGGAGCTTTATAGTAAACTGTAAAGTGGTCATGAAAATGTAATTAAGCACTGATGTATGTGCAATCCCCACTAGTTAGGCTGAGGGCATTCAGTGAAGAAACGTGTGATCAGCTAAACTTGTGCAACTCTGAGATTACCTTAGTTTCCCTTTGGTCATATTCCTGAATAAAAACCCCATCTAAAATCACACCCCAATTCATACCACTCGGGATTTTGCAAGGTCATGGAAGAGCCCATCCTAAATTGACCTCCGTAGTTTGGAAGACCTCACACAGGAGAAAGCCAGAAGTGCCAAACTTTAATTAAAGCACATTTGACTGGCAATTCCCACAATCCTTTTAATAAGGGCATTCAGCTCAGAAATTAGTATTTCTTCTGGGTCTTTCCTTGTCATTAAAGGAAAAGCTGGCTTCCTAATTCGAAGAGGTAGTAGAGGGCTGCCAGGCCAGCCTGTGCTTGCACATGGCAGTCTCTACCTGGCACCTCCGATGGGAGTCTCAAGCAAACTCAGGAGACTCTGGGCATGAATTAACGAGCCCAGCCGTGTGACAGCAGGTAAGAAAGCGCAGGCTGAAAGCAGAAAATGGGGTTTTGTGGCTCTGTGTGCTGGTGAGGACAATAATGCCGGCAGCCAGGAGGTCTCCATGTACGTCAGCCTCTCACTCCTTCCCCTCCCTCCCACCCCCAGCAACGGCAGCGCCGAGATGGCTGCGGTGTACTACGAGCGCATCGACGTGGAAGGCCACCACTACGGCCCTTCGTCCCAGCAGCGGAAGAATGCTTTGAAGGAGGTGGACAAAGCCTTGAGCAACATGATCGCGCTCATCAAGGTGAGTGGCGTCCAAAAACCCAGCTCCTGGGTGCGTTTGGAAAAGGCTTTTAAAACTGCTCTTTGTGGCACTGCTGAGAGCCTATTTAATGCCTGTTAATTGGATGCACTGGCTGTAAACTTTTATTTCCTGAGAAACAGAGGCTACCGAGATCACGTGGAAGTCAAGGAACCATTCCCCTGATTTTTATTTTCATTGATGGCATTATAATCCTCCTAGTGGATTATTATACCGATAGCCCCGGGAAGCCATAAACCAATATACATGTTGCTCTGTTTATAACTTGTGTTGCCAGCTGGGCTTTATAGTAGGCGAACGAATCAAAACCGCTTGCTTCCTAAGGTTTGTGGAATCAGACAATTAACTTTTATAGCAGTTTTTATGGCACCATTCAGAACTCTGTACTTTAAACTTTGTTTTAAAAAACATTATCTAAATGATTTTGCAGTGAGAAAAGGAGGATACCAAGCTTTTGGGTAAATGTCAATTCTATGAATATTTCTGACAATGATAAATGCACATTGGAGTTTTTTATGTGTTTCAGTGAGGAGAGGAATATGTATTTCCAATTTCACTAAATTATAAAAGCTGTAATGCTAAGTGCTTGTGTTTGGGAGGGGAAGAGAGAAACACCCCTGCCACAGGTGGTACCGTAACAAAGTTGTTCTTCCCCAGCCGTTTTGGCCTACAGATGAAGACCTGTCTAAGACCAACTGGCACAACTGGTTTGTGGGACTGGGATGTAGCATCTGGTTATTTAGCAGGGGGGTGGCTTTATTTTGGGAAAATCTCTCTTTGGCGCTAACCTCTCAGACTCTTCCAGGGCAGCAAGTGAGACTGGATGTCCACCACTATGGGTGGTGGCAAAGCACATTGCAGGGCATTTGCAGCCGTGCGCCTTCTGGCCAACTTCCACTAAATCAGTGGAGGTCAAATGGGGATTAAAATTCTCCAGCGAGCACAGACAGTGCAAAGCTCTTACCCGACCGTAATGGCTGTCACGCACTCGCTTCACAGAGCAAGGGCCTTCAGCATGATGTCAACGTCCTCCTCTTCTCCGATCACGGGATGACAGACATCTCTTGGGCGGACAAAGTGATTGAGCTGAAAAACTATATCAATATGAGTGATACCATACAAATGAAGGACCGAGGTCCTGTTGTGAGCCTCTGGCCAGCTCCAGAGAAGCACGCGGAGGCAAGTACAGCTTATTTGTATTTATTCAGTTTTGTGTTTCCTTGTTTTTTATGACAATTGTGTCTTTTGTTTGCCCGTAACATCCAAATCCTGCTCTCAGAGATGTGTGTAAAAATCAGCCTGAGGCTCTTATCGGGAGTCAGACTTGGATCCTGTGACACTCTTGTGATGCTGGTTTCTGAAGGAAATTCACACCAGGCAAATTAAAAAGCATGAACTTTCACCGTTATTTGGCACAGATACATGCTTTCAAACCCCACCATTATAGGCTTCTGATAAATAGCTAAAAGATTTTAGTTCAAAATCCATTTTTAGCATTTTTTATATATATTAGTCAATTTATTGACACTCTAGCTGGGATTTTCAAATGATCTGGAGCAGGTCAGACATTCATACTCCAGTAAACTCCCATAGAGTTTGAGGAATTAACTCCATTAGACCAGAATTACAAAAAATATTTTTTTTTACAGTATTCTCCTTTGAAGAATTTTGATGAATAAGCATGTTGGATTGAATCAACCATAAAAGCCCAAGGCTAGAACTGCAGGATTTTGAGAGACAAATTAAAACAATTCAGAAAAAAATTCGGAAACCACTTGAAAAGAATGAAAATGCAGCATCTGTAACTAATAGACTAGTACATTATAGTTTAAGCAGAAACTAATGCTTGAGAAGTCATTATTGCTGTCCTCAGAATATAGATGAGTAGATGTACAAAATGGGCAGTCCACGCTCCAGGTGAATAATTTTGTTTTCTGTATTATATCTTAGCCAGTTCCAGTATATTGTAGCTTGTGCAATTTTTTTGAAGAGAATATTTGCTAATTTTTGTACTCAAACAGGCTCTCCAGGAATTGTATAGCTGTGATATTGTGAACATTTCAAATTAGTGCCAGAATTGAAAGTTGTCTTAGAGGCACGCGAAAGCAATTCACTCAAAGTTCCTGCAGGGGATCACAGCATTTATATATGCTCTCCTCAGCCTGAACTCAGAGATCCCTATTTTTGTAGGCCAGACATTCAAACAAGGGCAAGTATAAGTTGTGACTTCACGCAGACATGGGGTTTCATCCGATGAAGCTCTTAAGCACATGCTTCTCTCTCATTAAACAGCCTAATATCCCTGAGGAGAATAAAGTACGATGCCTCGCACCATGGTTTTGTTTTCTTCCTTCATTTCGTTTTAGGACTTCTTACTGGAGTGCTGCTTTTTTAAGCGAAATAAAGTTGATTTTCTGTTTCCCAATAGCCAGATTCCTCTATTCTTAATTCACTTTAAAGAGCCATGTTTAGGAATTAGATTGTATCATAACATAGTGGTTATCACCTTTAAGAGTTATCTCATTTTGAAGCACCAGAAGTACTGGTGAAACACCAGGACCACTCTCTAGTCCAGGTCATGGTGGGAGGGTCTGGCTGAGTCGCGCCATTGCACCCTGCTGCCGTCCTTATGGCGACTGCATGTCAGTGCAAATCTCTTGCACACATATACACACAAGGGGTACTTAGCTAATAGGCTAGTGAAGGACCTTTCATTCTTTGCAGAATCAAGCTATTTATTCCTGAAGATTATTTATATTTAAGCAAAAGAGCGATATACACTCTGGGGACTCAAATAACCACCTTCTTTATGGCATACGAACATTTTCTTTAGGCATTTAAAATATTTTTCTGAATAATTTGGGGTTTAGCCATATTTGTGTGATTATATTCCAGACAGGATGATTAATATTAATAAACCACTTGTACGGCATTGTGCCATAGACATTGGCATTGGCTTCACGGCATCCTTATGAAGCAGATAACTAAGCACTATCAGTCCCCTAGATAGGGATTGACTGGTTGAGTGTAAGAAACACGGGTGAGGTGACATTAATTGTTCATTCAAGAGCACAAAGAGGGAATGAGTGGCAGAGGCCAAAGGCAATATCCCTTTTCCGCATCTGTACCCAGTCCACATGGTGCCTTTGAGCATCTTTCACCACTTAGTTTACTGTCTCCTGTGATGGTTTGGTTTCTGCTGGTCTGCCTCTGTAGGCTGATATACTCACATGCATACATTTGTGAGTGCGTGTATTATAAATATATATAATACATGAATTCATGCATTCCTATGTGTTTATGATCCAAGTTTTCAGAACCTCCTAAACCACATAAGCAGGTTTTGCACAGCCGTCATCTTTGGACCGGCAAAGTCCCAGCTTGAATGTGCTGATGATCAGTCATTAACGGGGATTAGCCATTTTACAAATTCAGGTGTTTCCACGTACCCGTAGGTGCGTATATGCTCTTTACAGCCATATGGTGTCCTAACATTTGTTTTCTTTGCAGATATATCAAAAATTGAAAGCTGTGGAACACATGCACGTTTATAACATACAGGATATTCCAGACAGGTTTTTCTACAAAAAAGGAAAATTTGTCTCTCCTCTAACTCTCGTGGCCGAGAAAGGATGGTTCATAGTAGAGGTAAAGTATAGAAGCAAAATACTTAGACATCAATGTGAAAAGGTGCAATATATGAAAACAATAAGAAAAATGTACAATTCTATGCTGGCATTGAGTTGAAGTGTTACATCATTTACTTGGGCTGACTACAAAACTAATGTCAAATATTGCTATGTGCTTAAAAGAGCCTAAAGGCATGGCAGCTATGCTGAAGGTAGACAAAGTTAAATAGTCAAGATCGTTCTTTTTTCTGCGTCGTCATAAAGCAGGAGGAGTTTTTGTATTTCCCATTCCAGTTCTGTTGCTTTACTCCTCTTCCCCCTGCCCATCGACCTTAATCTCAGACACAAGAAGAGTGATTCCATTTCAAGACCTTACTATCCCTCCATTCAGCAGTACTTCGTGGCAACTTTTCCTTCTGCCTGGCTTCCCACCCACCAGACTCCGTCCTAAAAATGCCCCATTTCTCCCAAGCCCTCCAGCCTCAAAAGGGTCAGGCTGGGGGTTTACTCCTCAGAGATACCCAGTGTGCACACTGAAATCTGAGAGCTTGTTAAGCAGAGAATCTATTAGACTTGCACATGAAAAGGTCTTTCATGCCAACTTATTTTGTTACTCTAAATTATTGTTGTTGTTGTTATTTTGTACTTGTATCGCTACTGAGCATCTCCACGTTACAGATATTAACTGCCCCTCACCACAGCTCAGAGGGTGAGGCAACTTATATATCTTCTACGTGGGTAAACTGAGGAGCCGTACTAAGTGATTTGCCCAGGGCCATACATTAAGTCAGTAAGTTGGTGACAGAACCAAGGAGTCCTGGGTTTTTTCAGTGTCCCAGCATAGTCATTGCCCATCATTGCCTTGCAGATTATTGTAACTCAGTTGAGCATCTTCTTTCATGACCCTCAGAGCTACTGCTCACCAGGCTTTGCTCAAGATGGTCCACACCACCACATTTCTCACTAGCCAACCTGACTTTAGGATAATAAGTTCTACAGCTGAATAAAAACGCACCTCTAAAAAAACCTTATTGCTTTTGAGTACAGATGGGTGAGCAGCACATTTCTGGTTAAAAAAAAAAAAAAGCCAGAGTTAAGATTCAGACACGTAAAGTAGGAATCGGAAACATTTTTGCCAAACTGATTTTAAAAAATTACAACTAAACTCTTTTGTATAGAAGTTCAACACAGAACATTTTTACATATTCTGTAAAAAAAAAAATGCACTTTAAAAAAATCGTTGAAACTCTGACAAACCTTAATAACAGTGCAGCAAACACTGCTGCTATGGTAATTATTTCTGTCTCTCTGCCCATTCCTTCCCATTGTTTCCGATTTTCAAGAATGTCCTCTCATTAATGCTGTCAGATTTTCCTTCTCCTCAGTACATTTTCATTATCTGTGAATGGGATGTGAAAATGAAAGTTTCCTGTCATATTTTTAAAGCAATAATTGAGCCTTCTATTATACTTCCTGCCCAAACCACTGAAGAGAGGATGTTCAGCTCTTCCTTATCATTCTCACGGGCTGTTTTAACTCTCTGTCAGCTAGTGGATAGCTATAAGCTGTTTGAAAAGGGGATTTTTTTTTTTTTTTGGAGAGACAAAGGGGATGTATCTGGAAAGTTTTTTTTTTTCACAGTAAGGAGCATAGGAACAAAAGCCCGTCCACATTTCGGTTAAAGCAGGATGAGGAGGGATTTCACCAACCTCCGGCTGTATCAAAGCTGATCTGCTAATACTATCTTGTTCCCTCCACATGAGTGAGTGGTCCCCATCCTTTGAGCAGAATTTCCCCCAGCTGCTCTCCTGCGTGCAACAATGGTGTTAGCCCTCAGGGCTGCGTGCTCACCCTATACCCATCTCAGCGTATTTTCCCAAGTTTTAGGGAACAATTGCTGTACAGCATCTAAACATGCACATGCAGGGAGAAGTCCATCGTCGGCGGTCCCAGACACGCCTGCTTCATCTTTGAGGAGCAGCGCTAGCCCAGGCTTAGGCTGAGTATGAAAAGTTAATGTCTCAGTTGAGTCCTCTGTCCCATTTGGGCTTGCCAAGGCAGGCACGTCGGGGTGCTGCCAGCACCCTTGCCCCAGAGAAGCCCCAGGGCTTTGTGGGGTTTGCTGTAAGGCAGAGCCTGATGCTCTAGAAGGGCAGTGCTGAGATGCTTGCACAGCCCTTTCCCTGAAGCTACTGCTGTTAACAGCTCCGTTTCACGAGCTCTCACTTCAGCTGCAGTTGTGAAAGAAAGTAGTATGTTTTCTGACCCAACTAGCAGCAAAAATAATGGAAATGACTGTGCCTTTGACTGCATATCTAGCTGCGAGTAGGTATCTCCTGGTGTCTGGGTGGGTGATGGAAAGTCACACTAGCTCCTGCGTTTGCCATTCCTGGGGAAGCAGCTGAGGCCACGACATGTGACAGGACCGTGGAGGGGTGTAGCTTCGGCAATGTCATGGTAGTGCCAAAGAAACGTTGTAAACTAGATGTGACTTGGCTTGTCTGGAGCTGCTGCTAACAAATGCCATACAGGTTGCCTAATGGTGAGCAGCCCAGTGACAATTAGTCCCTGGGAACCGCAGTAAGCAGAGCCACGGCGTGAGGAGGTGCTACGGTATGAAGAGGGGAAGGAGTCTATTTTCTCCTTGGCTTGCTCTGAGCACTGTCAGTGAAATAGATGGGGACAAGGAAGGAGATTTAATTTGTCAGCTAAAATTGTTTAATTATCTGGTACATCTGCTGACTATTACTTATGAAGAAACACAAGGGATACTCTGGGGGTTCCCCTGGAAAGCAGTCAGAAGAGCTACACCTCATAGCCGTAATCATTGCCGTCCCCAGTGCTCCTGCGCACAGTCAATTTTCTTCTTGGGCAGAGGAGGAAAACAACAATCAGACAAAATAAATGTTTGTAAAAGGAAAGGGATCCTGGGTCAATCCACTTCACCATCTGCAGGGGTTGTGGCACCACTCGCCCAGGGTGGGAATGTGGGAGACTCTGTTGGGGCATCTGCTGTGCTCCTGTGACAGACTGTGAAGCCCAGATCTGGCCGCTTTAGGGAACTGTAGCTCCTTCTCTGTAACCATCAGATAGATTAATGCCAGGGGTCTCACAAACTGTCAGCTGATGTTCGTCGTCTAAGTGAAATTCCTGCCATAGTTTTGGGGATATCTGGAGTGTCACGTCTGCTGCCATCCCTAGGGAGCATGGGACAAGAGAAACTCGCGGAGAGGGTTGGTCGAGCATTTTGAGCAGCCCCTAGGGACCGCTGCTCCCGAGTGGGCCAGGATATGGCACTATTGTAGGTAGTCTGGTAAGAGCTGTTAATACGGAGCAGGAGAAAGTAAGGAAGGAATTTAAAAGTATGACTTAAGTGCAATATGGGCAAGGAAAAACAAGAATTATGATGACGCATTATTAAAGCATGGACACTGAGCAGGGAGAGAAAACTGAGAGTTTCTCAGTTGCCTTGCCAGGGAGAAGGGGACTGTCTTAGGTCTGAGCCTGCATTCCCTGGAAGGAACCTCATGGCTTTAATACTAAAACAAGCAGGGAGAAGAAATAATAATAATTAGAAAGAATATAGTAGGGGTGATATTTGTATTGTTTAGGCTGACTAGTCAAACGGAGCAAAAATGGCTTCTTCTTTTATGGTGCCAATGGCATGTCGAGCAGAACACCACACCATCAAATCCATGGGAGTGCGTGGTGCCGGGTGGGAGAGCAGCACTGCTAGCATGCAGCGGGAGAGGGACACCACCTTGCTTACACATGTCACATATGGCTGTGATACTTTGTGCTCACAGCAGAAATTTAGATGAGAGGCAGAAAGTTGTCCTGCCCGCTCAGCCGGGAGATGGCTGCTCGCTGAGACGGCAAAGGCAGGGGTCACCCCTCCAGTGATGAGCCCCTGTGCAGCTGACGGCACGGTGCAGGGGCCTGATGGGGTGGTAGAGCACACGGAGACACAGAATGGCACACCACGGTGCCCGTGTGGCACACCACGCACAGCCTGGCAGGCGGGCACTAACCGCGCTCTGCTGTTGTCGCCCAGAGCAGGGACAAGCTGCCCTTCTGGGAGAACGGGACGGGGAGGAAGGAGGCCTGGCAGAATGGCTGGCACGGCTACGACAACGAGCTCATGGACATGAGAGCCTTCTTCCTCGCATACGGGCCAGGTACAACACCACCGTCCCTGGTGTCCCGCTCCCTTCGCAGCCCCAGGGCCCCTACCCCAGTGTCCCTGCAGCCCTGGCATGTCAGGACCCTGATGTGCCACTCTGCGACACCCAAAAATTACAAATAGGTGGCAGGATTTCCTCACTATGGCTGGATGCCAGGAAGGTTTCTAGCTCTGTATCTGTTTTATAGCTGGAGAAACAGGGCAGAGAGACATGAAGGGATTTGGTCAGCCCCTCTCTGACGTCCCAGCACATTAACTCTATCCCTTTGCCCTATTTTCCAAGACTGGCCTAAATTTTTAATTCTATTTGAAACACATGAATTCTTCTTTTGTTGGTGGATTCGGACTCACTAGCGCAGAGCACTTTCTTTGGAAAGGTTGCAGCATACCTCGCCCACCTGTCCGCTGGGCAGATGTGAAACCCCTGATTTCCCCTTCATCAGTGGAAAACACTGCCGAGCACCAGGCTGCGACTGCAGATAGGAGCGAAAGCAGAGCAGAATGTGCAATACAATTATTTCAGGCTATTAAATCTACCAAGCATACACAGTAAAGGAGCTCCTGTACTTAATAATTTAATTAATTTTTCTTTTTTAGTTTTTAGAATAAAATTGAACTAGAAATAAAAATAATGAATTAAAACATTTAAAATGTTTTTGCTGAGCTCTGTTGCCCCACAGTGCCCTGTGTTTCAGGAGCTGAGCCCCAAGCTGTACGACGCCAACTCTTCTCTTTGCCTGTTTTCCCTGCAGATTTCCGATCCAACTTCCGAGCGCCTCCCATCAGATCCGTGGATGTTTACAACATCATGTGCAGCCTGGCAGGAATACAGCCGCTGCCCAACAATGGCTCCTGGTCCAGGGTGGAGTGCATGCTCCGAAACACGGCCCCCTTGGCACCACTCCCCCCGTGCAGCAGCTGCACCCTGGCGCTAGCTCTGCTCTCCCTGTTTGCCGAGCAGATCTCCTTACTGTGATCCCCGAACAATGTCGGTCAGTGTCACCAGCAACTCCATCCTTCTCTTTTTTTTTGGTTTTAAGTTCTTCATTTGAATAATAACTTCATTAATAGAGTGCTGCCCCCAACTCCTCCGTCGTGCTCCACCAGGCATGAATCTGACCCATCCTGCTTTTACAGCGGTTATAACATGAAGCCAGGTTTCGTGCTGCTCTAAACACAGCCAGGAAAGTCAGGGTCGCTACTCTGGATTTACAGCACTGGCAATGAGAGCAGAATCCCGGCCAGCTATCTGCAAAATTTTCTGGTGGGTGCACATGGCAATCTCTGAGCATCAAACGTATTTTACCCCAGCATCTTTAACTGAGAGGCTCACCGTGGCTCCCAGTACGGAGAAGCTCAGGGGTGGAGATAGACCCCTGTGCATTTAACTGGGTTCTTTCTGATTCACTCCTTCATCTCCTGCTCCATCACCAGCAGAGCCCCACCTTCTCCTTACAGTGCCAGCCAAGCCCCGTCTATACTGATCTGTTCTTCAAAGAGCCAAGCGCTTTGCTGAGTGATCATACTGCTGAAAGAGGTGGATCGGCAGGAGAGCAGTGAGAGCATCCTACTTCTCTCAGCTTTTCCTTCTTCATTTTCCCCAAAGTGAGCCCTGGCCCTGCACACCTGCAGGGTTGGGCTTTCCTCACGGACCACAGCAGGGCAGTTGCGGGGGGCGGTGCTGGGAAAGGGGAGAGCGATAGAAATCCTCCACTTCAAAACCAGGAGGAAAGTGAAACAGCATCTGGACACACAGGGGTCAGGAGAAAATAGGATGAAGAAGCCTGGCATGTAACAGCCTCTCTGCTTTTCCTGGTGGAGATAATATCATCTGCTCAGGTTTTGGGGTTTTGTACCCAACTGTGTTTCTGAAGGGTTTTCAACACTAACTGCTTTTCTACCAGCTCTTGCTCTCTACACCTCTGCCCGGTGAGCAGCACATTCCCCTTTATTCTGCAGCAGGAAGAGAGGTCTACATTGACAGATCTCCCACCCTCTCAGTTAATCCTAGCTAATATTTCCACCACGGGCCATCAAACCCAAACAAAGTTGTAACGGTAAAGTTAAATAGCAGGAGAGGATGGAGCTGTTGTCGGAGGTAATGCCTCTAAAGGTTAAGTCAGATGGATGATGTAATCCTGAAAACATCAACATGGGAGACACATTAAATCCCTGAAAAACCTGATTTTGCCCCTACTCATTCACTGCAGCGTAGCCATGGATCCACCCTGGGGCAATGTTCAACACAGGGCTGGCGGCAAAGCCACCACCACGGTCTGTTAGCTCAGAAGATTAATTTCACTTAATTGTTAAGTCGTCTAGTTGTCACAGTCCTTGGTGTTACACACTGGGATGGATGGATGTGTGCCGTGGTGGGTCATTAGAGAGGTGTTCTTTTTACGTCATTAAATTTCTACTGTGAAATAAGCTCGTCTAAAACAGGGCTGTGAGGGTCTGATCCTGCAAAGTGTCCTTTCCTCTTCAGGAGGCTGTGGCAATGCCTTCGGGAGTGCTCAGTGCTTTTTCCAATATACCTCTGAACCAGGAGCTTTCCGTGACAAACTGCCTTTGGAAGGATTTAGGTCCCTCCCCATGCAAAATAAGCCTCTAGGACTTATTATTCCTGTGGATCCAGAGTCAAGCACGATCCTGGTATGTGTGGTACAGTGAGTTTAAGGGTGAATGATTACCCTGTGGGGAAAAAAAAACAACAAAAAACCCCCCAAACTTGACAAAAGACTTCTGTAATAGCTGTAAAGATTTATGTAATGTGTTTTTAAAGCTCAAGTGAACCATCAAATCAATTGGGAAAAAAAAGGGAGAAAAATCAGTCTTTGTTATTAGACTGTTGAGTATAAAAGGCAATTTAGTGCTTTCGAAGCATTTGCAAGTAGCTGTAAAACAAGCACCTATTGTTCAGAGTTCCCTGTTGCTCTTTAATGGACCAGGCTCAATGAATTCACTGGAGCACATTTTAAAGCGGAAAAAGTTATCGGTATACAAGATAACCAAATGACTAAATTACCAAGTTTTGTTTGAAAATCAACAGGATAGATAACAGTCAATACCTGCTAATCCCTCTGTTGCCATTTTAACTCTTACAGTGAACAGAACCCAAGGTCCTCTTACAGAAGAAAAGATCCTAAAACTGTAAGGCTATACTCAGGTTCTCAATTATACACGCAGAAATTGGAAATAACAAATCGGGTCCATTGAGTTGTTCCAGGGGTGGGCCATGACACACGAAACCAACGTTGATCCCTGGGAGTACTTTGTGTAACTCGTTTTTGTCAGTGTCCACGTGCAAATACTGCAGAGTAAATCTTCTAATTGCAGTAGGATTTGTTTGACCTTAATGCAAGCATTGTGTGTGTGGCAATACACCTCAAAAGATACTTGACCTGTAAAAGGGAAACTTGATGGTAGACCTACAAGAAGCTCATTAGCTTCAGGAGAACTACAGCTGATTATTTTTTGAGAAGTGCATCTTTCTTCCTCAGAAATGTTGTACTTCTGAATCAGTTCACATTCTCATTCAAAAATCAAGTGTCATGACTCTCGCCTATTTGTCTGTATACTATGCAACAGAGGTGGGTGTATTTTAAAATCTATTTCTGAATGATGTTTTTATACAATGACTGATTGTGAATGAGTGAATAATTCTAAGAATGGTGTTAGAAAAATAATATGCATCTTTTTGTAAATACTGTAAGATTTTTGGGAAAAAAAACAAAAAACAACCAAGCCACCCCTGTAACACCTTGCCTTTCTTGTTTGATTGCTGCATCAAAGTGTGATAAACAGTGTTTGAAGCTTGTGCTGATTAATCATCAGAAAGATGAATGATAACATTGTTTAGAAATGGCAAAGTTGTCAGCATGTAAATTAGGGACATTAAATACATCACACGAGATACTGTAGCTTGTCTACGCAGTCCTTTTTTCCAGCTGTATTTCAATATTTAACCTTTTGAACATCCATCCAGGGACATGTAATTCACACTAGCAAATGGACATGACAAACCATTTTGCTCTCCTGAGAGGTGAGCCTTGGATGCTCTCTGCAGACCCACTTCTCCAAGCCCACCTTGTTACCATCACATCAGCTGCGTGCACAGAAGTCAAGTGCATCGTCGCTGGTACCAGGGTTCAGTTGGTTTGGGCTTCCTGGAGCCCTCACGGTACACCCCACTTTCCAGCGCGAGGCGGTGCAAATGTCAACGAAACCTCAAAAACCAACACCAAGGGCCTCAAGGACAAAGGGCCCTACTCCCGCTTTAAGCTCCACAAACCAACAACGATGTTTGTGAAACAGGCTGATTTAATAGAAATAAGTCTCCAAACCTAATCAGTGGAATTTATCTTGTTTTCCTTACACTAACTGACCACAGGGGCAGGGAAAGTACGATGGAGGAGAAGCCAAGTCCGGGAAAGCAGCCCAGGTATACCAATGAGTCCTTTAATTCACAGCAGGACTACCTTTGAACTGGCAGCACTACCAAGGTCTGCCCAGAGATGCTCCCTCCCGTGTCCCATGAACATGGGTCCCATGAAAAGGAGGGTGCTGAGGGACTGCCTGCATGGGGACAGCGTGGGAGTGAGCCTCAGCTCCCCATAGCGGTGCCAAAAATGGCAATTTCCCACCTAAATAAGCTAAGCCTTTTTTATCTTTGAGCTTGGCGGCCGTGTAAATGGCACGACTGGCCAGGGCTCAACAGATGAGCCCTCCAGCATCCCTCGGGATGCAGCCCACGTTGCCCACACAGACTGCAGCCTCAAGGAGACACTTTCCCGTCTGCACCGGACGCTGGCCAGAGCCCTCCACAAGTACCAGGACTTCACAACTAAGGGGTGAATTAAGAGATTTTGTGCTGCTGGCCACCTTCCGTGTCTCCTAACTGCTCAGGGGAAGTCAAAACATCCCTCAGACGTTAAACTCCACACCTCAGGGGGAGATGCAGACCAAATGAGCTCTGGGCACTCTGAAGTGAAAGGCGTTGGAAAAGCTCCATGTAGCACTTCCCCCTCCTCCTTTTCCCTGTAAGGCTGCGGCAAGAGGGCAGGCGGCTGCAAATTGAATGGGAATTTTTAAAGAAAACATGGCCTAATGAAGGGAAAAGTTTGAAACCCTCCATTTTAGCATAATGAGTCTTTAATAGCTGTTTTGAAAGACAACTTTCACCTACGTGGAAAAGCGTTTTTGTGTAGGTACTGAAACACATTTACGTTAAAGGAGGGTTACTGTGGAATGTTCACAAATAAGAACATTTCAGAATTACAGTTGACTGGACAGTGTAATTCTCAAGCTTCGTACAGATGTTTATAGCTGTATAGATTATTCTGATAAAACTTGCATTATTTGGAAGTCGCTACGGACTTGCAAACGGGCATAACGTTATCCCAAATCTGGCAGCTCTGTATCAACGGCACGGTTTCTGCTCTACCAGCCCAATTTCATCAGAAAAATCACCGCGAGCTGCCAGCAGACCTGCCCTGGTCTCCCCCTAGCCCCGCCTGGCATCCGCTTGATGTGTGCCCCCCGCGCCCTCCCAGTACGGGGCGAACGCCTGGAAGCCACACCGCCACACCGCAAGGCCGCCTTCTTCCACGGCTTCCACCCGTTTCCCGGCTGGCTGGGAAGTGTCACCCGCTGGGCGTGCAGATAAGCTCCCGCTTCGGGGTGGAAGCCGTCAATCAGCAGCGGCAGCACGGAAATAACGGTATTTTCTCGGTCGGCCCGGCGGGCTGAGGAGCGGAGGGGGCAGCTCGGCCCTCGCTGGGGGAAAGGCCCTACGGCACCTGCAAGCGGAGATCTCCCCGCACGCTGCTTTTATGGCTTTGTTTGCCCCTTTTTTCGGCGTCGACGGCCAGCAAGGCGGTGGCTGCAAAGGCTGCGGCCTCCTAAAGCGCGCCTGGGTTTGCCGGGGCAGGAGGGGGGAGCCCTGGTTT